CCAAAGTATAAATAATTTAAACAGCTAAATAAAAGATAGATAATAAAAAACAGGGAGAGAGATCTTTTGCAAATGCAGAGGACCAAGAGACTGAGGGAGGGGAATGTAATCATGATGTACTGCAAACATGCATTACTGTAATAAATTTTTTTAATTACAGGAAAAAAAGAAATTGGCAACAAATCTTTCTTTAAAAGGGAGTTTGGGGCTGCATCTCTATGTCCCTTCCTTATGGCCAGCATGATCTGGCCTCTTGATACTTCTCTGATGTCATTTTCTGCTGTTCTTTTTTTTTTTTTTTTTTTGGTTTTTCTCCGGTACTGGGAACTGAACTCACGACCTTGCGCTTGCCAGGCGGGCGCTTTTGCCGCTGAGCTAAATCCCCAGCCCCTCTGCTGTTCTTCTTATTTGGTCAGCTCCTTCCTGTTTCTCAAGCATGTCAAATATGTTCTCTCGCAAGGTCTTTTCCCACACTGTTTTACTGTTTTAATTGTTCCTCCCTTAGGAAATAATTGGATGATTTGCGGTGTTCCTTCCTTCATATCTCCTGATCTGAAAGGACTTCTCTGACTATCTTCACTGAAATAGTATAACTTCCCCAACCCCCTATTATGTCTGTTTCTTTAACTTGCTTTACTGCTTTATCTAACACTCATCACTTTGCTTTGCTTTATGTTTGTTTGTCTGTTTTGCTATTCACTGGTACTCTCCCCCATTCTTCATTGTGCATTGGAGCACATTCAGTATGCAGGATAATACAGTAACAGGCACATAGTAGGTCCTCAACATATGTGTGTTACAGCCATGAACAAAGGAGACAAACACCGTACTGTGTTCTAAAGTAGAATTGTCAGCAAAATCATAGGTGGGATGCACTGTGGTAGAGGGTTTGCCTAGCATGGGAAGACCTGAGTTCCAGCCCCAGTACCACTTTAAAAAAATCAAAGGTAGGTGCTGCCCTCATGGAGTTTGCTGGGTGAGGAGGCAAATGAATGAATTAACACACAAATAAATATACAGTTGCAGTCTTGAGATGGGAGACAGTGAGAAGGGATGATGGTGTCAGAAGAGCTTATAAAGGATAATGTGGTCTGTCAGGAAGGGCATGGAGAGCTCTTGTGAGGAAGTGATGTGGGAGCTGAAATCTGAAGGATGAAGTCTTTGATTAGGGGGAGGTGATGGTGTCATATTTATCTTTTAAAAAGATCACTGTGGGTTAAATGAGGACATTGAATGTGAAGGAGTGCTCCTCTGTGGTAATAGGAGAGAGGAAAGGGGCTGGCAAGACTGCAAACTTAGGTAGATTTGTGTGTTTGGTATGTGGAGATGATAGGATTGGCTTTTGTTTTCTTTTTAATGAAAGAAAAGACAGTAATTGCTTCTGAAAGCATTACTAATAAGTACCATGTGAGGTGGCATATGGAGGACCTGTGACACAGATTCTAGAAGAATTCACCAAGATCAGAATAAGATAAAGACTAGGATTTATTCAGATAAGAATGCACTGTCAAGAGAGGCAGCAGGTGAGTTTCCAAGAAAAGAATGAATGAATTTCCAAGAGAGGAATCCTACTGTTAGTGTGAGAAGCTGAGGTTTTTGTAATGGGTTGAAGATGTGGGAAAGGGTCTGAGTCAGCAAATGTAATTATCTTAGACTTGAATTTTCTGGGGCATCCTGTTCCTTGTTAATCTTTTAGGAATACTTGTATTGTATCAAAGTTGTATATCAAAGTTGCAAAATGGTAAATTTATTTACTTTGGCCTCACAGAAGTCCCTTTGTGACTGGGAGAAAGATTTAACTTTATATCATGTTGTTTTTGGTCAGTGTTAGAACATTATCTTATGACTGCTTAGTACCTGCCAGATGGGAATACTTTAATAGGAGAATTTCACTGCTGAAAGTTTTAACTCTTTTGTTGCCACTGAATAATCCCTACAATAAGGGTGCCTTTTAAGCTAATTATTGCCTTACTTGTCCAACTCTTTCACAGAAAGGCATCTCCATATCCATCTCCATCTCCATATTCCTAGCTCTATACTATCAGCAATGGGAAAATAAATAATGAGAATTTAAATACTAGATTGAGATACCCATACTTCTAAAGTACTAGATTGAGTACCCATACTTCACTTTCGCAGTTCAGAGATACTCCAGCTGGAGTGTCCTGAACCCTGTGAACCACTGTCCCACAGTTGGCCATTGTGGACAGAGTTTGGCTGGCTCCAACTCCCACATCTCCTCCGAGCTTTGGAACAGAATATATCCATCAGTCTGACTCACTGTGCCAAGCACAGAGGTTGGGGAAGAGCGAGCAGGCAGTGTCCCTGAGTGACTCAGCTTGCACCCCCTCTGATTCCAGTATCCTACAGGGATAACCGTCAGGTTGTGGTCAGCTTTGTTCTGGTGATCACTGTCATTCAAGGATGAATCTATGAAGTTTTCCTGGGAAGAGTGTGTCTACTGTACTCAGCACAGAGGTACCTATACAAGGAGCTGATCTTGGAAAACAACAGCAACCTATTATCAGAGGAGTATCATTGCACTAAGACTAATTTAATTTTCAAGTTGGGAGATTACAGGAGAAGGAGAAGAGCTATGGGTAACAAATGCCAAAATGTCCACTCTGAGCTGTGCACGTAGGTTGGGGAGAATAGTACCAGAAAAATTAAGATGAGCTTGAAGGTGTTAAGAGAAGCTATGTATGTGATGTGTCTGGAAAACTGCAGCTAAGAAAAACCCATGTTTCTTCAAGACAAAGACTCTACAAGTATAGCACACATGGGAAAAACATGACTCCAAACTCAGATTTAAGCAGAGGTTATGTAAGAAAGAATCCTAATACATTTCATGGTTGTGAGGAGTCATATTTTCTTCATGGCATAGGAAAAAAACTGTGTGATGAATGTGGCAAAGCTTTTCATAGTAAGTCATATTGTACATCTCAGAATCTACATGGGGAGAAACCTTATGAATGCACTAAATATAAGAGAAACTTCAATACTTGTCAGAGAATTCAAACAGGAGAAAATCCCTATTTGTGTAGTGAATGTAGTGTAGTGAATATAGAAAATCTCTTTCAGGTCACAGCTAATCATCCACCAGGAAGTCCACACAAGAGGGAAACTCTATGGGTTAAGTGAATGTGGAAGGCCTATAGTTGGAAATCTTAGCTCATCTTACACCAAATAAGTCACACAAGAGTGAAGCCCAATTAGCGCAGCAAATATGGGAAGACAGCATTCTGTTTTAAGTCCCCATTTATTGTACATCAGAGAAGTCATACGGGAGTGAAACCACATAAGTAAAATGAGTGTGGCAAGGCCTTTAGGAGCAAGTCCTACCTCCTGGTTTGTGTCAGAATGCATACAGGAGAGAAGCTCTATCAATGAAGTGGGAAAGCCTTCATCATGAAGAAAAGTTCATTGTGCATCAAGGAGTTCACATAAGAAACAACCTTGTCAGTACAGCCAGTGTGGGAAACTCTTTGGGAGGAAGGAGCAGCTCATTGCTCATCTGCAGCCCAGTGTGGAAAGAAGTTCTAGGGGTGCAGTGAGTGCAAGGTTTTCAGCAGCAAGCCCTTCCTCATTATACACAGGTGGCTGCCAACAAGGGAGAGCTAACTTATAAGTGCTGCTTGTGTGAGCAAGTGATGAGTCAGCGAAGGTGAAAAAGCCTATTCCAGAAAGGCATCCTTTTGGATTCATTAGAAAACCCATTCAGGGGAGACATCTTTTAAGTTCAGTGAGTGTGGCAAAGCCTTCACTCAGAAATCTTATCAGTGAACACCACAGAGTTCATATGGAAGAGAAGCCATGGAAATGGTCTGAGTGTGGGAAGTCCTACTGCTGGGGGCTTCCCATAAATGCACAGGGAGAAATCTAAGTGAAAATGTGTTAGAGGCTTTCTCACAAAAGTTGATGTCACAAGGCCTTGGAGGCTGTTGCAAACAGTTAAGTTAAAGGTAAGGAGTTAAAGGTAGGAGGTTCTAAAAATTGACCCACACCAAGAAGGTCAAATGGGAGAGAGCAGTGATTTGGAATGGGGTTGTTAAAGCTTTCAACAGCCAGCCCCACAAGACAAGGAAGGAATGAGGAGTAGTAAATGCACTAATGTAGTATGCCATGGAAGACTTGGAGCATTCATACTGAGGACACTTGTAAGTTTAATAAGTCAGGGAAGCACTAAGGGTGTGTTTCGTGGAAAGCTATATTCCAGGTATTTAACTCCTTACCTTTTTATAAAATAGCGTGAAGAAAAATCTCAGATAAGAGCAGTTGACTTTTCCATGGTGATTTATAAAGTTTTGTTTTAATATGTAAATAAAGTAAATAGAACCACAAGGAATTTATTGTGAAAATTGAGAGATATTTCGTGTGACTTTCACTAGTTCACATGGAGTAAAATTTTTTTAAATTTTATTTTTAATGTACAGTAACTCGTTACATAAATATTTGATAGTTTATAGTACATCTCCCAGTATTCTCCAAATTAAATGCTAAATATAAAAATACTAAATTGATTTTAATTTTAATTATTACGATGATAAATCTGATGCTACCCGAAGACAAAGAAAAATATAAGCTTCAGTCAGGCCCCTGTCTTAAGGAGCCTAACAAATGAGACAATGCGGACCGCAGTTGGCAAGAATCACATTACAAGAAAGGAAACAACCAGCACACTTCCTCTGGACCGGCGCGCCAAGGGTTAAGATCAACAAGAGCTGGACACCCATTGTTTCCTAGAGAGGCCCCAGCAAAGCGGGCGCGGGAAGAAGTGGTAATTTCTGGTGCGTGTCTTCCGGGTTTGAGAGTTCAGTACTGTAGGTTGGCGAGATCTGAAGTAGCAGGATCTCCTCCCGCCGGGACCGCCAGGGCTGTTAAGGGTGCGGAGCTCCGAGTGTGCGGCCCCCTAGAATAGCGAGTTCCTCCTGGGGGAGAAGGGAGCCGCAGGCTGCGGGTAACGGGAAAACCTCACCGCCCAGGCTGCGGGGTACGTCCCGGAGGCTTCCTGCAGGGGCGAAGGCCCAGCAGGGCCGCAGCACGCGCGGTGCTCGAAGGCTCGTGCGCTGGGGACTGGCTGGCTCCTGGAGCTTCCCCTGCAGTGCACCCCAGCGCTGAGCTCCAGGCAGTGCGTTTTCTCCGGAGGGCTTTCTCATTCAGAGCACGGCCCCATCCGGATCACCTCTTGGCATGGTAGCGGTGAAAACAGCCCTGTCTGTAGAGCCCAATCTGAAGGGCAGATGTTTAGTACCATTTGTGGACTGAATTTGCTCCCGTTTTGCAGTGTCATTGTTCTGAGGGCCCCGTAACGGTCAAATGTAATAAGTAGTATCTTAGGGGAAAGTGGTGGAACAGGAATCTTGTGTTTTTCATTCAGGTGCATTTTGCACTGGAACCCTAGAGCTGTGTTCGTTTGTTCTACTTTCACCTTTGTAACAAACCCCTGGTTGCTGAGTGTGCTGACAGAATGCCAACCCACTGTTATATAAAGTTTGAGAGTTTCGATTTAGTAATACAGTCAATAAAGGTGCTCTTTGAAGACCGTTTGCACGTGGAGATTATACCCAGTGCTGCTTCGTGCTCTAGTTTACCACAATAGGTGGTATAAAAGTCAAGCTTAGACTAATGTCCTGCTTACCATTTTGTGGTTGTGTAAACTTGAGTTTCTCAGTGCCCTTTTATCTGTAGAGCTATTCATAATGTTTTTACAGATAAAACAGTTAATTTGTTCATAAGCACTAGGCTCGTTGTGAGAATTATATGAGAAATATGTGCAGGTTTGCTACTTGGCACATAATAGGCACTTAGGGTGAAGATTATATTGGTTTTTGTTTTTTATATGGATGCTATTGTATGTCCTTTTAGCCTTTTATTTTTGCCCAAGTTACATTCTTTAATTTTGAAACATGCCAAGTCTCTGTAACAGCCTGTCAGTGCTAGATCACAGTTTCTAGTTCTTTAAAGTAGTTCAGAAATTGTAGTTGAATCTAGAAGATAAAGTGTAGGCTGAACTATATGTTGTGATCCTGATAGAAAGTTAAAGCAAGGAAGGAGTAAGTCCCTCATTTGACCTTTTTATTTAGGGATTGTTGACAGTATTGACAGTCCTCTTTTATCTTAATTTCGTGTTCCTGCTAATATACATCTTTAACTTTCCCTGTGCTTTCTCTTCTTTAGCTCCTTTTGCTTGCATATTGATTTCTTGAAAGTGTTTCTAAGCTATGAGTGGACAATGAATATTTGTTTGCCTTCTACCTTTGAAGCTTGGTCCTTAGGCCTTCCATGTGAAGAGAGTTATAGTGAATAGTGATTTTAGTTATATAATTTAAATTTTTTATTTTCTTAGATTAGATAAGTCACATTATTTGGATATGGTATAAGATTTTTAGACAAGGGCCATGTTTCATGTTTTCAGTATGTTTTGTAGAATCTTCTATGTCTACAATTGTTAAGTTTCATTGGTTGGAAAGGAGAAGGAATAAATATAACACATGCCTCCAGACATGACCCCTGCTTTCCTTCTACAGGTTTTAAGATCCTAAACCTGGCTGTGATCATTATGATGGAGCAAGGAAAAGAACTGTTGGTCTCAGATTCTAAAGGCATCATGAAGAGGGAGAATTTGAAAAGCCCCTTTACAGGTGAGAGCTCAGGAGATGATCTCAATCCTTAGGAAATTTGTTATAAGATGTCCTAGAAAGTATGGAGAAAAAACCAGGATATTAGAATGAGAAAAAAAACCTTAATTTGATTCTGTACTGACACAAACTGCTAATTCCTTCACCCTGAATTTTCTCATCTAAGATAAAAAAATGAGTGATGATGTCATCACAGATATTTTAGGATTAATGAGATACCACATTTGGTATCACAGTAGCTTGGCAAAGCTACTGTTCTTAACAAATATTGGCTATTGTTATCCCTATATTTGCTTATATCTTAACTAAGCTGTTTAGTTTTTCACTTATAATGGGATCTTGTTTTATCCTTACTTAGGTCCCCATTTGCTTGTGTGTCTCACAGGATAAAGTTTAGTGCATTTATTTTTAGGTTGATGCCCTCCTTGGCAATTGCTAACAATGGTTCAGATAACTTCAAATATTAACAATAGTTGTTAATAAGGACAATAAATTTTATCTGCTTTTGGTGAACACATACAATAAAAGAAATAAACACTTTTATGTAGAATAATTAGTGAGATTTTACATTGTTATTCCTTCTCTTCCACTGCAATTTGGAATTTTCTTTTCTGGTAGAGATTAGGGGATATGTTTAGAGTATTTGTTTATTCTTCCAGGAGATGAAAGTAAGAATAATTTTGGAACTGTTCAACATTATAATCCTAAGGCAGATAAGCTTAAAGAGAGAGCTTCAAAATGGTCTAAAAGACATGGCCCACAAAATTCTAAGCATGAGGATACAGAAGAAATACTGTTGACATTGTCCCAAGAAGGTGAGATTTTGGCTCAGAGTTTCTCTGAGAATGACGGCAAGTCTGAGATTTGGGGAAATTTCACAGAGCAAGAGGAGAAGAAGTCCAATCATGGGTTAGGGGACCCAGGAGAACACGCTAGTGCCTCTATCCAGCAAGGAGACAAACCTTACACATGTTCCCATTGTTGGAAAAGCTTCAGTAATAGTTCTCATTTGCGTACGCATCAGAGGACCCATTCTGGAGAAAAGCCTTATAAGTGCTCTGAGTGTGGGAAATGCTTTTGTAACAGTTCACACCTGATTCAGCATCTGAGAACACACACAGGGGAAAAGCCTTACCAATGTGCTGAATGTGAGAAAAGCTTCAGCAATACTTCCCATCTTATTATCCATGAAAGAACTCACACGGGAGAGAAACCCTATAAATGTCCTGAGTGTGGGAAGAGTTTCAGTAGCAGTTCTCACCTTATTCAGCATCACAGGTCACATACAGGGGAAAAACCATATGAGTGTCCTGTCTGTGGAAAAGGCTTCAGCTATAGCTATGTTTTAATAGAACATCAGAGGACTCACACTGGAGAAAAACCCTATGAATGTCAGGACTGTGGGAGCAGTTTTAGTCAGAGTTCCAGCCTGATTCGCCACCAGCGGACACATACAGGTGAAAAGCCCTACAAATGTCTGGAATGTGGAAGAAGCTTTGGTTATAATTCGACTCTAATAAAGCATCGGAGAATCCATACAGGAGAAAAATCCTATCCTTGTCCAAACTGTGGGAAGAATTTTAGTCGAAGTTCAAATCTTACAACACACCAGGAAATGCACACAGGGGAAAAATCCTGTGGAGGTTCTGAAAATGGAGAAAGTTTGCATCACAGCTGCAGTGTGATAGAAGAGTGCAGAGGAGAGAAGCCATATAAATGCTGTGAATGTGGGAAGAGTTTTGGCCTTAGCACCCATCTCATTAGACATCAGAGGACACATACAGGAGAAAAGCCTTACAGATGTTCTCTTTGCTGGAAAACTTTTAGTCAGAGTTCTGCCCTGGTGATTCACCGGAGGACCCACACAGGAGAGAAACCTTATAAATGTCCTGACTGTGGTGAGTGTTTCAGTCAGAGCTTTAACCTTAATAGGCACCGGCGGATCCACAAAGGAGAAAAACCTTACAAATGTGCTGACTGTGAGAAATGCTACACCAGAAGTGCCTACCTCACTCAACATCGGAAAATTCACTTAGAAAAGTCTTTTGAGTCTCCTGAAATGATAGATTTTCCTCATGAACTGACTTGGAAAAGCTGTTCAGGGGAAATGGCCCACATCCCTTCATTTTCAGTCTCAAATCCACCTTCCTGAATCCAAGCGCCTGCTGAGTCTTGTTTTGTTTTCCCTCACTGAACCATTACAGTTAAGAACCATCAAACCTGTATAATGATTGTATAATAATATATACTATGAAGTTCTATTTAGTGTGTTTGCCAAACATCTGCAAAAAGTCAACCTCTCAGGGCCCGAGGTTATCAGACCTGTCCAGTGAGAGACACTGCCAATGATGAAGATAAAGGAAAATTTTTTTTGAAACTTAGGGATAGCTCCAAAGGAAAATATAAAGAGTAACCCTGGGAGCAAGCAAAAGGCCATGTGAGAGCGTGAAGCTAGGCGTGCCAATGAATTACCTTTTTTTGTATTACCTCATTGAGTCAGGATCATTACTGGCTTCAAGTTGTTGCCTAGTGAAAGGTCTTTTTAAACAAATAATGTGATTTTGTGTCTGTTTTATTGAATCTTAAGAAAATTCTTTTTTAAAATGCATTTTTGCTAAAAATTAATGTTTATAGCATCTAAAACTGTAGTATCCATTATTGTCACCTGTAGCCATATTTGACTATGTAAACGTATTAATAATTAATATTTAATGAAATTGGAAATACAGTTTCTTAGTTGCACTAGCCACTTACTAAGTACTCAGTAGTCACGTGATTACTGGCTACTATATTGGATATCATCATAGAAAGTTTTTTCAAGAGCATAATTCTTAACAGACTGAGATATATATATTTTTTTTAATTTATTTTTTTCTTACAAGTAGGAATGTGCTTCATTGGTTTTATTCTCCAAAAGAAATTGCAATTGAATAGAAATGAGATTGAATTTTTTAAAATTTTTACTAGGGCAAGATCAGGTATTTTAGTGATTATATGTTTATGTTAAACCAGTGATGTGATCTAGTGATGATTTCACTGTGTTCAGTAAAGCCAGAATAGTAAGTGGGATCCTATGTATGACTTTTCAGTTTTTTGACAAAATCTTTCCCTAAGTTTTCTCTTTACATAAGGCCTGGTCATATCAGGAACTGGGTTATTTTTCTAATAATTAACCCACTCATTCTGAGCCAATGTCCATGGATGGTTTGCCTTTGGACACCAAGATTCATTAGCTCTAGGGTTGGCAGTTTTCCTCTGCTTGTGATATATTTTGTCTATGGATCTGCTGAAACCTCATCATGTGTTCTATGGGAATAATGCTTTGGAAAGTGTTAGGATATTCCTCCTTCCCATTTTTCCCTACTGGTGCAAACAGTGTACGTATAGGAAGGTCAGGAGTCTGTGTTGTCCAGGATTTTATCTCACTGGTGGATTTAAAAATATATGCATTTCTACCTTTGTATGTTATGAAGAATTTGTGGAGGTGGATATTAGGAATTTGGAGCCAGACAGGCAATATTATGGCTGCTGCAAAGGGCTGTAATTGGCAGATAATCTATTTGCATGAGGATTATTTACTTCTTGATTGTGGTACCCTTGATACTGGTGAGGCAATTGTGTCTTTTTGTATTGTTATATGATGTTAAAATAAAGCAAGACTAACAGTTATTTAAGAAGTAGTTGGGGTAATAGTCTTCTTTCATGAAAAGGGAATACATTTTTGGGCATCACTGGCTTTTATGCACCTGTCACTATGTGTCTTTCTACCTTCTATGTGATGTGGTATTGCCCAAGTTCTCCTAAATTGTAATATCTCAGGACAAGTTTTTATAGTTTGTTTATTTTTTTTATCACAAACAACTAAGTGTTCAGTTAATGTTTGAGAATTACTGGTTTACTCTTGAGGCTGAGATTCAATTGCAAGGCAGCAGCTATGATGTAGTGGTAAATCATCAGTGAAATAATCTGTGGCACATAACCACTGACTCTCAGTTTCTGTATCTGTAAAGTGAAGGTAGTGCCTACCTTCCAAGGCTACTGTAAGGATTAAATAAATGTTTGTAAAGCATTTAACACAGTGTTTAAAATAGAAGAAGTTCTCAGTGGTAATAGTATTAAGTGAAACAAATTAAAAATGCCATTCACATGTTTTAAGCATAGAAACAGCAATATAGCTCTGTCTTAGTTACTTTTCTTGTTGCTGACACAAAAACACCCAACACCCACAAGTTAAGGAAGGAAAGGTTTATTTAGTTCACAGTTTGTGGAGGTTTCAGTCCATACGGGCTGGCTTCAAGGCAGAGTGGCACATGGCAGATGAGCAATATTTCATGGTGGCAGAAAACAGCAAAAGCAACAAGTGAGCATAAGACAGGCCTTTTTCTGTCTCTCATGTTGTCCAGTCTACTGGATACAACACAAGGCCTGTGCCAATTGAAATAGTGGACTAATTCAGCAATCACCCAGGACACTTAATTCCAGCATTGCACTATGAATCAATCACACTCTCGATTCAGCCACCTCTGAAAAAACTCTGTGACCACATGAGGCTTTGGGGGGACATCTAGACACAAACCATAACAAGCTCCAAACTCATCCTACTTGAAAGTGGTTTGTGATCAACCTCAGGACAAGACTGTTCTGTGTTTTAAGGTTGCAGACTATCAAAAACACTTTTATTTGCTATACGTGTAGAAGCTATAACAAAAGCAGATGTTACTACATTTTTTGTTGTTTTTTTTGTGAAACAAAGGAAAGAAAACAGGAAGTATAAATTTAAATCTATTTGCAGAAGGGATTAACAACAGGTACAATATATGTTCTGTCACCATCTGCCTTTGCTATATTTTATAATTATTGACAGTTGCATATAACATTTCATAAACCTTGACATCTACAGGAATATAGATTTCATATTTTTATAATTAAGATAGGCCCTGTTAGTAATTTGGCTAGAATCCTTATCTTTGGATAGAAAATGAAAATAGAGGAGAGATTTGTCCCTTATGATGAAGAGCATAACAGTCAAATTTAATCCTGTTGGTGCCTTTGCCTCAGTTTCATCAGTCAACACATCGGTTCTTTGTTTAGCTCTGTGAGAAGTAATATTTTGTGTTCTGTGTTTTTCTTGCTGACACAGGATTTGGTAGAACATGAATAAAGAAAGGGTCCTTATTTATGAATGATTTTTTAGTTACTTTTTAATTAAAGGAATGGTTTGTATAGCTTTTATTTTTTAAAGTTAAGCATCTAAAAAAGCGGAGATGTGGGAAGAGACACTAATCTGACCTTGAAAATTTTGAAAGCATTGTAGCATTCTGTTGTCCAGATTAATGGCTCAACATCTATTTGAGTTGGAGCTTCTTTCATGTAGGGGCTTTGCTGTGAGAATACCAAAGTTAGGTATCCTTATTCTGAAAAACTTGGCTTCCTTAGGAATCCTTGAAACTGCTTGCAGGTCCCAGGGACTGAAGATTGGCAATGGCCCTTTTTTGGTCAGTCTCCAGACTTCGTTGACATTGTAATTGGATATGTGCTTTAGTAGAAGATACCATATAACTATACTTAGCAAAGTGGGTAAGAGTCCATGTGGTGTTTTCCAGGCAGAGTTCGTGAGTCAGGCTGCAGTTGTCTAGTCATCTACATACTGTACCATGGTTCCCTGGCTCAACTGTAACATTCTAAGGTCTCTAGCCAATATTTCTCCAAAAGTCATGGGCACTGCTCAGCAGAAATGGAGAGTGGTTTTTGATTGCAGGTGTGTACATTCAAAGGCAAAAAGTGACTGTAATTCCCTTCTGAGTGGAATACAAAAGAAGGCATTTTCTAGATCAAGTACAGTAGAGCATTTGCATTCTGCAGGCAATGCATTTCAAAGAGTATAAAATTAAGCCAAGTAGAGTGAATATCCTGGACAATTTCTTTAATGGCTTGTAGATATGGAACAAAATAATATTCGTCAGACTGAAACTTTTTTTTAACGTTGTTAGTATGTGTTTGTATTACATAATGATTACCTTGATTGTGGGGAGTGGTACCTGTACATAAGACATCTTAATTCTTTTTACTTTCCCTTTCCCTCCTTGCCCCCCCACCAACCTTTTTATTAGCAAGATGGGAGTACTCCAAAATGAAGCTGGCAACCTCATATTCGATAGGATCCAACCTATCCTTCTGAGAGAAGATAGAAGAAACAAAGATACATAGAAAACAGAAGGAAAATTGTAATTTTAAAAATCATACTTGTGTAAGGGACTGCAACTTCTGGACAAAAAGTTGCTCAAGGTTACCAATCTCTATTCCCTAGAGAGAAGTTTGTTGGATCCTAGGCTTGTTGGATCCTATCCAAAATGAGGCTGGCAAGGCTGAATTAAGCTACACTTTAGAAACTTGGAGCATCATGGGACAGGGTCCAGGAGTCCTCCCAAAGAGGAAGATGGATACCTCAACACAGCCCACTGAGTAGGTTCTTGACTCTTGCTAAAGGAAACGATTTCAGGATGTGTGAGTGAGAGGACTAAACAGGTTTGTTAAACAGTTTAAAGTACACACTCAAACTAGAACACAATCCTCGAGAGGTGACCTATGGTGTCAGGCTAGGGGTATTTATGTGGTTTTGTGGGTAGAAATTGTAGAATTTGTAAATCTGTAGAAAGTTTTGGCTTGATTTACAAGAAAAAAGCAATGGCCAACCCACAGGTAGAAAGAGCATTGCTCATTTTACAGGTGAAATCATTGTGCATTTTATAGGAGATAAGCAAGGACCCAGTCTGTTGCATTTTTCTTTTTTAAAATGGATGATCTGAGATGTTTTGCTGGAAAACATTCTTTGGACTCTTTGAATCTGTTTCTCTATTTTAAGTTCAGGTTTCTGATCTTTACCTTATCAACTAAGCTAATTTATGGATTTATAGTATCCTTAAGGGATTTGGGGTATGACGGGCCTAGAAGAGAAAACAAACAACCCTAGGAAGCATAAACAAGCCTAAGGAGTAGAGATTGGTAACCTTGAGCAACTTTTGGTCCTGAAGTTGCTGTCCCTTATACAAGTATGATTTTTAAAATTACAATTTTCCTTCTGTTTTCTACTTATCTTTATTTCTTTTATCTTCTCTCAGAAAGATAGGTTGGATTGCCCCAAGTGCTTTTCTTCACAAAGGGTATTATCTTATTTGGGATTTGGAGTACCTTCCTTTAAGAGAACCTTAGTTAACAGGGTGTTTTTAACTTTGCTTCATAAATGCCTTGGCCCATTCCACCTGGCTGACAAATCTGTGAATTTCTGGGTACACTGACTCATCCTCAGATGACTACTACTTTTTAGCAACACCTGAAGGTAAAGTACTTCTTTCCATGGCACCTGTACTTGATCTGTCATTTTTCTGGGGAAAAGGTGAACTTGGACATTTGGTTCGTACAGTAAGTGTCTACGCAATAGTGGGATTGAGCTTCCTGGTACATAAAGAAAACTGCATTAAATGTAAATCTAGGCTGCATTCCAGAAACTGTAAAAAAAACAAACACCAAAAGCAAAAGACAATATAAAAAGAACAATAACTATTCCCAGAACTTTCTTAATACTCCTGTAATTGATATATATAGTCATTTGTTTTTGTTTTTTTTTGTTAAGGGGGTCAACCAGGATCATATATAAGGCCGCAGTGTCAAACAGGAAGTCTATGTGTTTATTTCCCACTGTTACTTGTACTGGGGCTCCTGTGGGGAAATAATGATTGGAACTGAAAGGATTGTGGAAGCACCCAGACCTCCTCAGTCCTCAGTCTTTTACTGTCTAATACTTTTTCCCCTTACTGAGCTGGCCTTTTTTGCCAAAGAATTTAGACAGTTCCTCTTATATGGATCTTTTTTTCTACAATACCTGTATTGATTCTTTCCTACAGTTTTGTTTCCTTTGAGGGTAGAGCCTGCAGCTCTAGATCTCTGCTTACGGCCTCTCTTTACTTCCCAGTTGTTATACATTTTATAAATTATATCCAGCAATTGGGAGGGGTTCATTCCAGCAGCTACATCAGTACTTTGTAATTACCATGTATGTCAGGAGTTCTTTGTGCAATAAAAGTTATAATGACCATCTGTACATTTTTAGGAGCTTTCCAGGTCTAAGTCAGTATATTGTCTGTAAGTCTGATATTCATCCCAACCAGGCGGAGAGGGTCCTTGGTCACCCCTTACTGTAGTTGTTATATTTTATGTTGTGGGAGGCATGATGTGTGAAAGGCTGGTACTGAGCGGTGAAAGAATTTAGCTATGGTCAAGAAATGTAGAAAAACCAAGAGTTTATCGGTACACTGCAAGAGAGCAGTGGACGAGTTTTAAGAGAGGAATGTGCCGCCAGGGAGAAAGTAGAGATCTTCATATTTGATTTTAATAGAAGAAAGGGTCTGGAAACATCATCCCAGGAATGGTGGTCCTGTTGTCCATCCATCTCAGGTCTAAAAATAGCTGGGTATGTTTGAAGACTGATACAATGGTTTTGTTTGACAGGATCCAGTGCTCTTGGAGTTGCTAGAAACAGTTCCTCCAGGTAAAACTGATTAACAAATATGTAAAGATTAAAGAAGGTTAGTGGTCAAGGGAATCACGATAAGAGTATATATGTTTGCACTTGAAAGAGACTTTTGAAGCTATATTTGGATAGGTGAAAGAATGGTATTCTTTAAGACATGTAAAGTGGTTAGAATACCTAACATATGCGTTGAGTGCGAGGTGGAAAGTTAATGTTATACTACAAGTCCACCATTCAGTTGAACTATAGCCTTTAAAAATGGTAAAATAACTATGAATGCCCACATTTTATTTAAACTCTCTGGCTTGGTACCCCTTATCTAGGTCCTCCCGGGATATACTAAAGCTGGGGGTCTAGTTGGACTCTGTTGGTGTCTTTAGATTGTAATTTGGTTCCACCAATGGTATATATCTTGCTGGTCCAGAGTGTTGTGGGGGTCACCCTGGTGAAGGTGCATTTCCTCATATAGCAGAACGCCCCCTCGTCCATTGACACTGTATCAAGCAAAGCCTGTGTGTTGGTCCAGGTAGGGTAGTGGGTAGTGAAG